CCTTGCTTTCCTGGGACTATTCCCTCCTAAACTGATCCCTCAGCTTCAGGGAGGGTCAGGGCTTCTCTCCTCACCGTTCCGAGTCTTTGATCAGCTCTGAGGACCTTGTTTTGATAGTTTTTCTGTGCTGAGTCCTCTCTTTGATTTTACCCCGGGAGCTCTCTGTATCCCCAGTGTCTGGCCTGGGATGTTTGAGAAATCAGGTGAAGTAGGGTTTCTGACCTTGTTCTTTGGCTCAAGGGTTGGATAAGCTCTGTCCCTGAACTGAGCTTTTCTCCACGGAACTCTCATGATCTTCCTAAGCGCTCAGTGTTGTAGCTTCCATCATTGTCCTCGTCAGTATCAGCCTGTCAGTAGGTGTGGGGTGGCATGGCATTCTTCTGCTCACACATGTTAGGCTTTGAACAACTCCTGGGTGGTGCCAGTGTGGAGAACTGTTACCAATTCTGACCCTAATCTGGGTCCTTTTTTCGTCCCCAGATTGTGGAACCAATATAAGACTGAGCACCGCTGAGTGTGGTGCTGCATACCTGACATCCCAGCAATCTGGAAGGCTGAGGCAGGTTAATCAAAAGGGCAATTTAATGAGACCCTATCAAAAAATTTTTAAAAAGGGCCGGAGATGTAGCTTAGTGCAAAGGCTCTGGGTTCAACCCCCAGTACCACCACCAAAAGAGAGAGAGACATGATTGCTCTTATCTACTGAGGCTCTGCTGGAATCAAAGTGACCACAGGTTCAGGGCCATGACTAGAGTCCCATTCCAGGGGCTAACAGCTGCCAGTTGAATCTCCCTGCCAATTTCTTTTTCTTTTTCTTTTTTTGGTGCCAGGGATCAAACTCAGGACCTTGTGCTTGCAAGGCAGGCGGGGGCACCGCTGAGCTAAATCCTCAGCCCCATCCCTGCCAATTTCTTAACTCGGTGTCCTCAGCTGTACAGGAAGATGAGACAGGTTAGGTAAATTTAGGGCTAATAAACCTTGTATTACCAGTTTTCAGATGGACGCTCCCTAAGTGATCAACTTGCTGACATGCAGACTGAGCGGTGATCTGACCCACAGATTTAACAGGATGCAGATACAAGATGAATGCAGGGATGGATGTCAAGCTTTGAGTTCCCTGTCGGCATCTGAAGGCTCAGGTGAAGAGTCACTGCTCTTGGCAAAAGCAGCTTTGAAGTCCCCAACTGCCTCAGAATGAAACACACAGCAGTCTTTTAATGAGTAACCATTTAGGCCCAGGACTGTGTTTGTCCTTGTCCCTGTGTCGTGGTCCCAACAGTTTTCTCATCGAGTTTAGTTTTGGAGATGCTATGGCCAGGACACCCTGGCTTTCATGATGTGCCTTTAATTAAAAAACATTTTTTGACACTGAAAATTGAGCCCAGGATCTTTGCACCGAGCTTCACCCCCAGTCCTTTTTTTTTTTCATTTTGAGAGAAGTTTTGCTAAATTGACAAGGCTAGGCTCAAACCTGTGATCCTCCTGCCTCAGCTCCCAGACTGCTGAGATTAGAGGTATGTGCCACCATGCCCAGCTGATACACCTAGTTTTTGAGGTTAAGATTGTAAGATGCGGAGGGTAGGGAAGAATATGTGCCATGGTTTTAATAGCATACAGGCCCTGAGTTAAGGGTCAAGAGTGCACCTGTCCTCTGTCTCCTTGTGCTGTGTCGAAAACCCTTCCCTTTGCCTCCTCCCCGCTCCCACCCAGTTCCGGGCAACCCCTTCCACTATCCTGAGCTGTGCTCTAGAGCTCTTGCTCACCTGGACACTTTCTGTCCCCTGCCCCATACATGACACAGTTCTCCCTGTGACAGACAGGCTTAGGTGCAGCCAGTTGCTGTCGTGGTTGTGTTACCTGGGAAGCGGAGTTCGAACTCCAGCCACACTTGGTCAATCTCCCGAGCAGCTCTTCGAGTCCGGCCTGCGTGCTGCTTCGGACTGAAGTTCTCAGGTCATCTTTGAATTTGTCCCTTCATTTGCTAGGAGAGCTTGGCTTCCTATATCCCTACCCTGCCACTGAAGAGCTGGGTGACCCCAGATGAGATGCCTACCATTCCCAGCCTTGATGTCCTCACCTTTAAAATAGGTCATTACGAGATGACACACGCACAGGGTGGAGCCCTGTGCCTGGCACGTGTAAAGGCTCAGCAAACAGTGGCTGTGAACATCTTGCTCTGAAGTTTGTGCCAGGCTCCAGGCTGGTTGCCGGGGCTCCAGGAAAAGTGAAATGCAGTTGATCCTCAGGGAATGTTTGCCCCAACCAGATTTAAGGTGCCTCAGAGAGTCCCAGGAGCAACGTGGGACTCTGTCATCGTTGTTGAGCACAGGGATCATGGGTGGCCAGGGAAGGCTCAGGACAGAGACTTTGGGCTGGCCTTGAAGACTGGGATATCATGCTGGGCCGGTGCAGAAGTACAGAGGAGGGAAGACATAGGTTGGGGGTGGAGTGGGGGTTGATGGCAGGAATCCCTGTTAGGTCAGCAGCCAGACCAAGGCCTTAGTAAGGTATAGTTGTTAGTGTTTTGTTTCTTTTTTTGGTGGTGGTTCTGGGGATTGAACTCAGGGCTTTTGCTTTGAGCTACGTGTCTAGCCCTTTAGTTACTTTTTCCCCTTTTTAATTTTGAGACAGGGTCTTGCTAAGCCACTAAATTGCGAAGGCTGGGCTTGAACTTGTGATCCTCCTGCCTCAGCCTCCTGGAGTGGTGGGATTACAGGCATGCACCACTGCACCCAGGTTGCTCGATTTAACAAAAATATAGGCTATGTTGTTAAATTTGAATTTCAGATGAACAACAGGTTAATTTTCTTAGTATAAGAATGCCCCAGGGCTGGGGATGTAACTCTATGGCACCAAGCCTGCCTTGCAAGCACGAGATCCTGAGTTCGATCCCTGGCTCCAAAAAAAAAAAGAATGCCCTAAATATTGCATGGGTTATATGTATACTAAAAAAAAATTGTCGTTTATCTGAAATTCACAGTTAAGTGGGCAGACTGTTTTGTCTGGCAACCCTACTCGTGAGTCTGGTCTGCAGAAGGTCCCACTGAGACGTAGACAGGGAAGGATCCTGCTGATATGAGCAGAGTAACATGAAAAGTGAAATGGGACATAAAGGAGGTCAGTCGAGGGGTTAAAGAGTGTGGGCAGAGGGGGGCCAGGGGGGTCCAGTTAAGGGTCCTCGGGTAACGCAGGACTCTGTGGGCAGGTGGTGGGGGAAGGGAGGCCTGGGTCCACCTGGGGTTGGGGAGGGTCTCCCACTTGACCACACTAGGTCCCTGCAGGGGCCTGGCTGGCTTGCTGTCCTCTGTGGGGGTCCCTGTGCCTGAGTCTGGACTGTGGCTAACGGCTATGGATCACACGTAGGATTTGAGAACAGGAGAAGCAGGTGCAGTCATGGTGGGAGAGCAGGCTTAGCTCTCATTCTGAGATAGCAAGTGTGGACCCAGAATAGAAGGAAGGGGCTGGGTGTGGTGGCTCATCCTGTAATCTCAGCACTCTGGGAGGCTGAGGCAGGAGGATCGAAAGTTTGAGCCCAGTGTGGGAAACTTAGTGGCTTATTCAGAACCTGTCTCAAGGGCCGGGGATTTAGCTCAGTGGTTCTGCTGCCTGCTTCAAAAGCACAAGGTCCCAAGTTTGGTCCCCGGTACCAAAAACAAACAAAAAAAAATCAAGAATTAGAACCTGCCTCAAAGTAAAAAATTTTAAAAAGGGCTGGGGATGCAGCTCAGTGCAAAGGCCCTGAGTTCAATCCTCAGTACTGCAAACAAAAAAAAAGGAAGGAAGAAAGGCAGGCAGGAGGAAAGGAAGAAATGGAAAGAAAGGAAGGCTGGGAAGACTGAGATGAGTCCCGAGCTGAGGACAGTACCTTCCTGTTGCTTTGAGCACTTGTTTAACTTGTTAGCCTTCAGTGGGACGCTGCAAAGCGGCTGGCTCTCATAGTACCTCACTATGTGTTTGAGGAAATTGAGACACAGGAGCCTGGCAGCACCCTCGAGATCTCCAACCCCGTGGGACACAAGAGCAAGGGTTCAGCCCTGGACTGTCAGTGTCCATTCCCTGGCTACCTGCTGTGCTTTCACACTTCCATGCCCCTGCCTGGCAGACGCAGGGCTTGGGGCACCTCCTTTATGAAGTGGTTCTGACCCAACCCCTGTCCTACAGAACCTCCTACTCAACAGAAGTCTCACCCTGGCCTCTCGGTGATTTGTATCATCTCAGTCATGGCAATAATATTTTTAAGTCACAGTTACTTAGGCTCCCCTACCCCAGTTGGCTGGGGAACCTTTAAAAATCTCTAATGCTTACCCTACCCAGGGCCTTAACACAGAGTAGATGCCCAGTTAAGGGTCTCTGGGTAATGCAAGGACAAGACTGGGAACATGCAGCCTGCCCAGCCTGGGGGGGGTGAGGGAAGCAGGTGGAGAGGTAAACAAGGCATAGAACGCACCAGCTGATTCTCATGCTGAAGGCAAGGTTTGGCTAACCCTTTACCCAAGCTTGCATGTGTGCATGCTCAGCACCACCTGCAACAGGCTGCGGTCCTGCCCTCAGATGCAGTAATATTCTGTAGCTGTCATAACAGGGTAAAGACTAAACAAACCTCATATCAGCTCAGGTCAAGTTTTGGACCAAGTAAGATTTGTTTGTTTGTTTTTTAAAACAACACATCTTTCAGAGTTCAGAGCTTTCAGAGTTTGGTATTATTTAGAAAAGGAATCAATGGGCTGGGGATTTAGCTCAGTGGTTTCGCCGCCTGCCTCACAAGCGCAGGGTCCTGAGTTCAATCCTCGGTACCAAAAAAAAAAAAAAAAAAAAAAAAAAAAAAAAAAAAAAAAAAAAAAAAAAAAAAGAAAAAAGAAAAAAGAAAAGGAATCAAGAGAATCTTCCCCCATAGGAAATTCCTTGATATGGAAGGAGTGAAAATTGTCTGCCTCGCCACTAGAGGGCCCCTGGTCATCACTTTGTCAGGATCCTTGCTAATAAATGGTTTTCATCACCAGCTTGCAGATGCCAGCAAGTTGCCTAGCGTGAAAGAACTTCTCAAGTCCTCTGGAGAGGAAGACCAGTGGGCCTGGGACCTGGTGAGCTGGATTTTGACCTCCAAGGTCCTGACAGTCCACAGCGCAGGGAAGACAGAGGTGAGATTTTGGCTCACAGATTTCCTGGGGCCACAGGATCTGGGACAGCATGGGCCCCAGGGTCCCTGAGACCTCCCCACACACCAGAATGACCTGGGGAGATGGCTGAAAATGCATATTCCTGGACCTCACCCTCGGAGATCCTGATTTACTTTCTCTGTCAGTTAGTTTCTGCTGAACAACAGACCACCCCCGACATTGAGTGGCTTGAAATGGTAAAAGGAGAAACGCTGATTGTGTCTTGTAATTTTGTGGGTTGCTTGAGTGGTTGCCGTGGGCCGGGTGATCTAAGATAACCTCATTTACCTTTCTAAGGCTACAGCTGGGGTGGCTGCCCTTGTTGGGGGCCTTCCTTTTTGTGGCATTTTGCCAATTGTTGATACCGTTCTTCCTCCTGAAATTATTAAAGATGGAATGCAGAAATAGATGGGAAAGTGTTAGGAATATTGGAAGTGATTGCTGTTCAGAAGGTGTGGTTCATGCTTTTCAGCTTGCTGTAGGGAAAAATGGTGTTAGGGCAAAGCACTCTTGAGTCTTAGCTCTGAGTTTGCTTGTACATTAATGTCTCCGTCTTCATGAAACCTGTTGTTCTGGTGATCAGAGTCCATGGGAGTTGAACCCAAGGCTCTAGGAGGCCATTTTTGCAGCACATTTTACCAGCTTCCCAAATAAAATTTCAATTCCCTCGTATGTTTTCTTTCTTAATTAGTATATGTTTGCAAGACATAAGAGTTACATTCATCTTGGGGAACTGGCACATATACACATTGTATCTTAATCATTTTTGCTTCCCCTTTGCCTTCTTTATGTTTTCAAGTTTGAAAAAATCCAGCAGCTGACTGGTACTCCTCACACACCTGTCCCTGTCCCGGACTTCCTGTTTGAGATCGAGTACTTCAACCCAGCCAATGCCAAATTTTATGAGACCAAAGGAGAACGAGACCTAATCTATGCCTTCCATGGTAGCCGCCTAGAAAACTTCCATTCCATCATCCACAATGGCCTGCACTGCCACCTCAACAAGGTGGGGACCCTGCTGGAATGGGGGGCACAGGGTCGGGGTGAGCCAGGCTGTGGGGGTGGATAGGGGGATTGTAGAGTGGGGGCAGGTAGGTTTCCTAAGGCCTGGCTGCTCAGTGTGGCCTGTAGACTAATGGTGATCCCCCTGCTGAGGAGCCTGTGAAAATGCAGGATCTTGGGCCCAGCATTGACCTTCTGACTCCTTGATTCTCTTCAATTTGTTTCCCGTTACAGGGAAATTGAATCCAGGACCCTCACTACCTGCCCAGGTCTTTTTATATTTTATTTTATTTTATTTCCAGGATTGGGGATTGGACCCAGGGCCTTCCCACTAAGCTATATCCTCAACCCTTTTTGTTTTTTTATGTTTAGACAGGGTCTTGCTAAGTCTCTAAGCTGTCCAGGCTGGGTTCAAACTTGGAATCCTCCTGCCTCACAACCCAGAGTGCTGAGATTACAGGCGTGGGCCACCACACCCAGCTCCCACCTGCAGTGTGACAAGACCTCCAGGTATCCCTGTGCCTGAGAAGCATGGGTGGTTCCCACCCTTGCCTGCACATTTAGGTTACTGGGAGAGCTTTAAAAAAATAATCCCAGTGCCTCCCTTCATCCCAGACAATTAAATCAGACTCTCTGGGAACAGGACCCAGACATCAGTAAGCTTTACAAGCCCTCTAGTGATCCCATTGTGTGACCAGTTCTAGCAGCTCAGTGATGTCTGTGGACCAGCTACATCTGTATCACTTGCAGTCTCCAGCCCACCACGGATCCCAGGTGCCCCACAGGCGTGCTGACTTCTGAGAAGCCCCTAGGGGATGCTCCAGAGTGTCAGCCAGGGAGAACTGAATGTGTGTAGCAGAGGCACTGAGGAGAGGGCCTCTCCCTTCCTCCCTGAGCTGTGTTCCTCTCATTTTTAGGAGTCACAAAGTGCCAGCCTTGCTTTTCTCTGCTGGCACTTTTTACCACTCAGTAAGGTGTAAGGAAGACTGGGTATCTCTGTGGCCCTGGGCAAACTGATTTGAGCTCTCCGAGCCTTGGTTTCAAACCCTGTGCAGTAGACAAGGACTCCATTATTCTCCTCCTCCGGAAGAGGACTGGAAAGATTTGTGGGTACCAAGGCTAAGCCCGAGCCAAGGGCCAGAGGAGCAAGGGCTGCTTTTATGGCTGGTCAGAGGGCATCTAGGGTGTGCCCAGTGCAGCAGCGTCTGCTTGATCCGGAGGGGCTGGCTGTGCTTCCTGGGCACAGGCTCAGTGGGGACAATGAAGCCCTGAGGCTAGAGAGCCTCTTCCCAGCCCTGCTGTGTTGGATTAGTGCTGGTACATCTGGTTAAGGTGCCAGGCTTGTTTATGCTGGCTCTTGGCTTAAAATTAGGGTAAGGCTATGGAGTCAGTGGGCCTCTGCTTCATCCTGCAGGCGGCCTGGAGAAGTTGCTGCAGGTTATAGCCTTGCACACAGCCTTCATTTCAGAGCTCCCAGGAATCTGCTGCTTAGAGATGCCTTCTAAGAGTCGTTTGGTCAAGTGAATCAACCCCTGGCATTCTCTGCCTGGGTTTTGGTGCAGGGCTTGCTTGGGAAGCCCAGTGCCAGTTGCAGCTGTGGAATTGTTCTCATAAGAGAGAGACCCTGGGCGCCTTACTCTTGTGCCCTTCTACTCACTGCAGCTTGCATGAGCTGTCCGAGTCTCAGGAAGGCCAAACAAGAGTGGCAGGTATGGACCAAGAACTGCTTCGAGTCAGATAGGAGGGAGCTCAGTAGCCTTGGAGAAAGTCTGTGAGGGATGGGGACACTGGCAAGGAGCTCCCCAAAGGCCAAACAAATAATTCTCCTGAGCTTCACTTTCAGGGAATAGAAATGTGGCAGCCTGGTGCCACCTAACAGGGGCTTGCTCAGTTCCAGAGCACAGGATGTACTTGAGTGGGCCTTTCAGGTCCACCCATCATCTGAAAATACTGCCACTGTGGCTCCTGGATAGCAGTAGAGTCTCAGCTTGAACATTAAAGTCCATCCATTGGTCAGTTACCGGAAATGTTAGGAGACAGATTCTGAGTCAGTATGGGTAGGTGCCAGGATTGATTTATATTGCGTTGGCCATTGTGGTTGCTTACGGATGTGTTTGCCAAGCCTACTGTAGGCTGGGCTTGCAGGTGCTTTGCCTGCTGTGCTTCTCACAGAGGGTGTCATTGGCACCCACTAAAGAAGGAGCTGCTGCCTTGAGTTCTGGGCATTTCTCAGCCAACACCATCAGTGCAGAGGAAAACTGATCCTGGCCCTCATGTCTGCTTCCTGAATTCAGTTACAGAGTCTGAGGGACTCATTTCTTTTCCAAGAGATGACTCAGAATACCCTTCCCCTCAGGTGTGCCGCCCTCCCTGTACACAAGGGTGTGACTTTGCTTTTGCAAGCCCATCCGTGTAACCGTGTTAATGCATTCTTATAATAGGAATGACAACATGTGCTGTAACAAGAGCCCGTGCTGTGAGGCCCCGCCTCATTGTCGCCATCATCTCTCATGTCCTAGGTGTCCCATGTGATGTGTTCGGTATATTAGTTAATCCTCATCTACAACCTTATGAAGGACACACTATTAGCACCATTTTGTAGATGTAGAAACTGAGACACAGTTTATGTAACTTGCCAGGTTGTCGGTGGTTTCTACCGGAGGTCTGTTTTTCTTACTCAACCTTCACCACAAGGAACGGTTACTTTGCCAGGCTAGGTGGCCAAATCCACAATCAGTTAAACAGCTGTCACATGGAATGTGTTTAGTAATAAACCCTATGATGATGTAATAGGTTACTTGATCCTACGTCCTACTGGGAAAAAGGAAGCTTGGAAGTTTTCATGTTTACAGCTCTGTTGAAGAAAGACCTGTGGCATCTTGCTGTGCCAACTCTCCACGCACACGTTGTTTCTCTTCTGTTGGCCTCTGCCATTGCAGACATCCTTGTTTGGAGAGGGGACCTACCTCACGAGTGACCTGAGCCTGGCCCTCATTTACAGTCCCCACAGCCATGGGTGGCAGCACAGCCTTCTTGGCCCCATCCTCAGCTGTGTGGCTGTGTGCGAGGTCATCGACCATCCGGATGTCAAGTGCCAAATCAAGAAGAAGGGTGAGTGAGCCCTGGCCCGCTCCAGTCTGCTGGCCTCTGTGTGTGGGGTGCAGCTGGCTGGTGGGGGAGCAACATCGCTGGGTCAGGGTGGGCTGGGTCTGGAGCGATGCTGGGCAGGACAGGGCAGGGCCTGCCTTCAAGGAGGGAAAAGCTTCTTCATGATGGAAAAGCTGGCTTGGTGCAAGGCGGTCGGTGGGGAGGACCTGGCGAGGGGGCAGCTGAGAGGAAGGAGCTGTCATGGTGGGCCAGGTGGCCAGGGGGAGCTTTGGAGCTTATAATCCCAGCATTCTGGATGCTGAGGCAGGAAGATCTTAAGTTTGGAGCCAGCCTGGGCTACCTGGCAAGACCCTGGGGGGGGGGGGGAGGGAGAGGGAGAGAGAGAGAAAAGCTTCGGGAAGGATTTAAAAAATTATTATTATTATTATTATTATTATTATTTTAGTACCAGGGTTGTACCCAAGGTCTTTGCACTGAACTACATCCTTAACCCTTATTTTTAAATTTTGATACAAAGCCTCACTAAGTTGCCTGGGCTGGGCTCAAACTTGCAATCCTCCTACCTGAGCTCCTAGAGTGCTGGGGTTATAGATGTGTGCCACAGTACCCAGCAGGATTTGACAAACAGAAGTATGTGTGTGAGGCAAAGGCGCAGGCTCCTTGCGAGTCGGAAGGAGGTCTTATTTATTCCTGGGCACCTGGTGTCAGCAGAGTCTGGTTTATACCTGACACTCAGCAAGCATTTGGTAAACTAAAGGGAAGGACACCAGGTCCTGACATGCTGGGGGATTCGAGGGTCAACTGAGGCCACAGGGAGTAGATCCTGGGTGCTCCAGGGAACATAACTGCCTGCCACCTCACTGCACAGCCCCAATATGTGCCTCGGACTCTGCCCTGTGCCTCCTGCTGTGTTCGCTCTTCCAAGGCAGAGGAGTCATGGAGCTGTCATTCAGTCTCCAGAACGTGCCTCTCAGTTTTACTGAGAAAAGGAGAATTCAGAAAACTGACTGTTCTGGCCTCTTAATGTAAAACAACCGGACTCCCAAGCAATGGGACTAGGTCTGACACCACCTTCCCAAACCAAACAACATGGGTATTTATTTGCAATTGTATTTCTTAGGAAGTTTGCAAACTGTGACATTAAACATCAAAACCAAACCTTGTGGCCTCTGCTGGCACGCAGCTCTGGCCTGGCTCCCCACCCTTGGTAAAGCTTTTTCTTGTTATTAAAAGAAAATGTTTTTCTGGTTTTGAAAGAAATCTTGGTAGGAAGGGCGGGAGATAAGTGTGCTAAGAAGCTCATATTTAGCATAGTTTATTCAAAACGCCTACTAAGGGCCTTGTTTCAGATTAAGTCCTCTTCCTAGTCCCAGAGATTTTTTTGGTCTTGTTTTTGATTTTGTTTTGGTAGTGGTGGTGTGACCATCAATTTGTCTTGTTTCCTCTGCTTTCTCCATTCAGTTGTTCTGTTGTCTTCCTTGGATCTTTTCTGTTTTTCTGTTCCTTTTTCCCTCTTCTCATTTGTCTCTCTGCCTACCAGATTGTCCTGCTTGTTTGTTTGTTTGTTTGTTTTCAGTACCAGAGATTGAACCCAGGGCATTTGCACTGAGCTATATCCCCCACCCTTTTTATTTTTTCTTTAGAGACAGGGTCTTGTTAAGTTGCCGAGTTTCCCAGGGTGGGCTTGAACTTGTGATCCTCTTGCCTCAGCCTCAGAGTATTAGGATTACAGGTATGAGCCACCACACCAGGCTGGATTCTCCTGTTTTTTAGTGCTGTTTCGTATTCCCACACGGGCCCATTCCTTAGCCTGCCAGGGTTTTTATGTCTTTAGGACCAGGAGACTTAACTCATCTCTATGCCTAATTTGCTTCTTTAGTTCTTTTATTTCCCTCACAGTAAATATGTGCTTTACTCTCCTTATTCAGATTCCAAGGAGATAGACCGCAGAAGAGCGAGAATCAAGCACAGTGAAGGAGGAGACATCCCTCCTAAGTACTTCGTGGTCACCAATAACCAGCTCCTGCGAGTGAAGTACCTGCTGGTGTATTCGCTGAAGCAACCCAAGAGGTCAGACGGTGGTCCTGGGGCTGGGGTGTAGCTCCGAGGTAGAGCACATGCCTAGCAAGTATGAGTCCCTGCCTGGGTTTGATCCCCAGCCCTGGAGGAAAAAAGAAAAGAAAAATGATGATCCTTGCCCGAAAGCCAGGAGACCAACTAGAGCCCAAGTTCAGGAAATTGGTTTCTTCATTGCAGTCTTGCTTTCCCCCCAGCCTCAGGCCTCCATGTTCTGAAAGGTAGACAGAGCACAGAGCACTGTGGGACTGTATATTCTTTTTGTTTGTTTGTTTGTTTGGTACCGGGGATTGAACTCGGGTCCTTGCGCTTGTGCAGCAGGCGGTGAAACCACTGAGCTAAATCCCCGGCCCAGGACTGTATATTCTAATGAAGAGTACAGAAAGATTTTAAATTATGTCTTTTTTTGATGACTGAAGGAAGTCACATTGGCAGCCCCTTAGCCCCTGGGCTGTTGATTGTGGTCAGAAACCCACCGATGAGATAGAACCAAGAGGCAGGATGGTGACTGGATACGGGCTGAGACTGTGTGTGCCCCACTCAATTGCTTCCCACAGTGGCTGCTGAACCGCTCCCTGTCCCTCTGTGGACCTGAGATGCTTCATCTTTACCTCTGAAATGAGATGCTAAAGAAAATAAATAACTATAAAATAAAATGAGGTGCTGAGCTGGGGTGTGGTTGAGTGCTTGCCTAGGTGCTTGAAGCCATGGATTTGATTGCCAACACTGCAAACAATAAATAAGCTGGGCTTGGTTGTGCATACCCGTAATCCAAGTATTCAAGAGACTGAGGCACGGAGATTGGGAGTTCAAGGCCAGCCCGGGCTATGTAGCAAGTTCAGGGCCAGCCTGGATTATATAATAGATCCTATCTGTTATGACCCTGTCTACATAAGACCCTGTCAATAAATAAATAAAATGAGAGTTGACCCCAGCACCAGATGAGGGCCTTCAGCTCCAAAGAACCGTGGCGGGATGCCTAGTGCCACCCCAGCACTGTGATACTGGGAGGATGTGCAACGTTCTTAGGGTTGGAGGTCACTTGGAGATCTTGTTGCACTGTTGAGGCACATGGTAGAGCTTCCTGTGCCAATGGGGAGCAGGCAAACAGCCATGACAGGAAAGGGGGCCATTTTTAGTAATGTCACTCCTACTTGTACACACCAGTGGTTTCCATGGTTCTAGATTTCATAAACCAGTAAAATCCGCCCCTACCTGAATTCAGGATGGGTTCCCGAGTCTGGGAACATTATCCTTTGGTTTAAACATCGTCTGACCTTTCCCATTTGAGAATTCCATTTCTTTCTCATTTTCTCCTGGAGTGCGTCTTTTGTGGATGGTTTAGAACATCTTCTAGTGGGCCAAAGAGAATTTTTCCAGCTCAGATAAATATGTGTACCTGTCTGAAAGTGAAAAGACTTTTGCTCAGTAACCCGCCACCATTTTGGTAGAGACCATGAGCTAGGTCATTCTTCTAGACACCAAAGTCTAGATGCGTTGTAAAAGATAAAAGAAGAGCCAGGTGTGGGGGTGCATCCTGTTACCTCAGCTACTTGGGAGGGCTGAGGCAGGGGGTTGCAAGTTCCAGGCCAGCCTCGGTGACTTAGTGAGATCCTGTCTCCAAATGAAAACTAAAAAGAGCTGGGGATGTAGCTCAGTGGTAGAGCCCTCCTGGGTTCCATCCCTAGTACTAGTGAAGGGAAAAAAAGGAAGACAGGGTGAGCTCATTGCGTAGCTGTCTTTGTGCATTTAGAAAATGTTTCATTGAAAGGCATGCTGGTGCCAGGGCAAAGAGCCCCAGATTTTTCAAGCAAAGAAACATGGAGTTTTGCCGCATAGCTCACGCAGAGGGTGAAATTCATCATTTCATCTTCTCCGAGCCAGAGCTTTTTGCACACATTGAAAAAAAAAATGTTTTGCTCTTGTTGCTGATGTCACTCGTTTTCCCCTCACGCAGGGCTTCCAGCCACCTGTCCTGGGTTTCCAGCCATTGGTTTGTGGTCATGATGTCCTTGTACCTGCTGCTGCTGCTCATCGTGAGTGTCATCAACTCCTCTGCTTTTCAACACTTTTGGAATCGTGTGAAGAGATAATCTTTCTGGGGCCTGGTATGGGGGCTGCCTCAGCCTTGTGCCTTATGATAGTTTGTTCTCTACCTCCTGTGCCTCACGTCCAGCCAGGTTGAGCCTAGGGAACAGTTGGGGGACCATAGGACCATTTTCTGAATGCCATAAATGTACTGATTGCCTTTGATAATGCTCCCAGCCACACTGTGGTCAGTGAGGATCCCCGGCTCCTAGGGTTCAGAGGAGCCCTCTCCTCCACTCCTTCTTCAAGGGCCCTAGGGAGCTGGCTCTTCAGCCAGGGCCAAAGGAAAAGTCCTGCTGCATTTAAAAACAGCGTCCAAGCGTCTGTGGCACAGCATGTTTACAATTGCTCCTGGCAGAGGTCACCCTCTCTCTAATGCCTTCTGGAAGGCAGGACGCATGGAGCAGGGACTGTAAATCACTAGGTGGTTGCCTTGTTTTGACTTGAGACTCTGAAGAGGGACAGTCCTGTTTCTCATAAAGAAATCAGTGGGATTATTTTTGGATTCCATCAGCTTTTGTATGTGTGTGGAAAACATTTTCACAGTTTTCTCAAATCAACAAACAGCCTCCTGCTACAGCTGGATCTTCCCTCCCCGAACCATGGTTAAGAATGGAAAGAGTCAGCGGCCTGATTTAAAAAAACAAAAAAAACAGACTTAACAATGAGCAACTCCAGTCGTATTTTTCTAAAAATTACCAACTGCTGATTACAGCCGAAATGGAACCAAATGTTTGTTTTCTGATTTTTTTTTTAAATAGCTATTTGACAAATTAATCTTTGTGAGTGGAGTAAAAGGGGGAAATTTCTAAACTTAGAGCACCATTTGGCCAGGATCCACAGCCTCTTTGGTGGCTGTGTTTTATTTGTTTTGTTTTATTTTTTGGTACCGGGGATCGAACTCAGGTCCTTGCGCTTGCAAGGCAGGTGGCGGAAAACTGAGCTAAATCCCTGGCCCTCAGTGGCTGTGTTTTAGAGAGAGATTGCTGAGCTGCAGGCTCGCTCCTGTTCTCCTTCTCAAAAAGCTGCCTTGATGTGGCCTGCCAACCACAAGTGTCATGCTGCTGGACTTCAGGGCAGGACGTGCCACAGAGCCATGGGTGGAGCTGCCCCCAGGGGAGTCATGGTCCTGTGGACACAGCCTGGCTTGGCATTCTCCAGCCTCTTTTCCCTGGTGGGTTTCAGCCCTAATAGATCCCTGACCAGTGTGGAGATGGGATTTTTAGAAAGAATAAGGGAGAAATAATTTTTTTCTATAATTTGTAAAGTTGTGGAAAAGCCACTGTCACGCTTTTTACATTGAATATTGGAATATTTCAGAAATAATAAAGGTATTTTCCTAATTACTAAGTTGTCTTTGTGACCACTGTCAGCCTCTCTCTATGTATGCACTGTGGTTGAAAATCTTATCCTCTCTTTCCTTGTTCACAGGGGCTATGTGCTGGGTATCTAGTGGGTGGGATTTCTGGTCACTGAGCTCCCAAATAGGAGCACCTGGTGTGTGCCAGGCACTAGGGATACAGCAGGATCAAAGCCCCTGCACTCTCGGAGCTGACAGTCACAAGGTGGGCAAGTGAACAGCGTCTTGGGAGTGAGGTTGGCATCATAAAGGCATCCTGGGGACCTTGGCACCGAGGCCTGATGTGGTCCAGGACCAGGAATATGGAACTGACACATGTAAGGCACCTACTTGTACTGGTGTCTTTTTCATAATAGTCCTTACCCACTCTAAGAGGCAAGGAACTGAGAGGTTTTATGGCTAGGAATTGCAGAGCTGGGAGTTGAACCCAGCACAAATGGGTTTCAGTGTCTGTCTCTTAATCAACCTCCTCAGCCCACTCCACCCCCAGAAAAGGGTGACATTTACCTCCAGCCTAGAAGAGGAATCCTGCCAGGCATGGTGGACACATTTATAATCCCACTACTCAGGATGCTGAGGCAGGAGGAGCACCATGAGTTCAAGCCCAGCCTGGACTACATAGTGAGACTCTCTCAAAAAAAAGAATTATTTTAGGCTAAGAGAGGCAGGAAAAGTGTTTCAGGCAGTGGGAACAGCACGTGCAAAGACCTGGAGTTGTTGAAGAAGGTAACAGTAAAAGTATCGCGAAGAAAGAGGCGGGGTGAGAAACTGGGCTGCAGAGATCGGCAGAGGCCAAGTCCTGAAGACCTTAAAAGTTATGGGCCGTGGACAACATTAAGGGGATTTATGAAAGGAAGTTGAAATTTAGCTTTCTGAAAAATCAATCTGGCTGCTGGTTGGAGCATGAATTTAGGATTATCCTGAGGATTAGAAGATCTGGTAGAATAGGGCCCAGCACAGGGTAAATAGCTGAGATGCACTGTTGTCGTGGTCTGTATTGTTTTTGTTTTTAAAGGCTCAACTGAGCAGGAACCCTGCAAAGGGGACAGAGCAGCTGTGTCCAGAGAAATAGGAGGAAACCAAAAGTGTCACAGAAGCCAGGAAGAAGAGGTGGACGAGCAGCATCAGTGCTGCCGAGAAATCGGGATTATACCCATGGAGCCTCTGCTGAGTTTGTTGCTGGTGTTGATGGCAGATTTGGCAGGAGTGGTTTCCATAGGGCACAAAGACCACGTGGCTGTGCCATCTTGGACACAGTTTCTGGGAGGTCTCAGTTCCTCAAGATTATGAGAAGCCCTGTTTTGGCCTGAATCTGGTCTTGTTCAGGCAGTGTTTATCTCAAACCTAGCCCTCTCTTTTTCCTATCTTCCCTGCCCCCCCACCCCCCAAAAGAGGAAAAAATGGTAATGTGGTACCTGATGTGATTGTGGAGACAGGAGGGTAAATAAAGAAGATCCTGCCCTCCAGGGAATCCAGACTGGTGGAGGGTCATCAGATAGGGGCTTGTGACAAGGGGGAAGGAAATCGCTAGAGCTGGGGGAGTTGCAGTGGGCAGGAAGGAAGGACAAGGGCAGGGCTCATTCTGACCCCTATGGTCCCTGGGCACTTTTGTCTTTGTATCCCTCCTTCCTCTGTAAGACAGTATTTAAAATTATATTTTACAACTGCATTGGTAAATGCAGAAAACTGAAAACATTTTCTTCCACTTAACATTGATTTTTTTCTTTTGTACGAGGAATCAAACTTAGGGCCTCACGCTTGCCAGGCAAGTGCTGCGCCGCTGAGCTACATCCCTAACTCTGATTTTTTTTCCTTCTGATTTTCAAAGAAATCAAAACATTTTCATACTGTGGGCCTTGGGCACTGTGGCTGCTTTGTCTAATGGATGAGTCAGCCCTGGACCTCTGGCTACCTGTGAATGAGGGGCACGAAGGAGGAAAACCCTCAAAGAGACCCTGCTCTATGTTCCACCAACTACAAATCTAAGACAGATCCTATAGGCCCATCAGCCCCAGGCAAGGGCAGGTTTGAGGGTGCTGGGGTTTGGGGGCTCAGGAGGTTGGCAGCGGGCCTCCTTGGGGGAGGAGGAAGCTCTGTCCTCAATGACAGAGGTGCCCAGGGACCAGGAGGTGGAGGACACCAGATGGAGGTTCAGTTGGAGCCACCTTCCAGTGGGGCCTGTATCTTGTGAAAAGTGACCCCCCCCCGCCTCTGTCACTAATGCCATTGTGGGGGGGGCGGCTGTGAGAGAGGTGGTGAGTGGGACTGTCACAGGTGAGGTGCCTGCTGGGAGGGGCCTTGAAACCTCGAAGCTGCCAAAGACAGGGTTTTCACTCTGCGGGGTTTGGGCTACGTGTACACATGTGGACGAGAGACATGGAGCAGGCGATGTGATTCAGTGTCATTTCTGATTAATTCCTTTCATTAAACACTGATTGCCTGCAAGCCCGGGGTGGGGCTGGGGGAGCTGGTTGGTGATTTAAAGAGCCCGAAACATATTTTTCTTTAGAATGTGGCCCCAGCACATCTGAGCCCATCCACCGCTAAGCCTGGGAGGTTTGCTTAGCATAGAATCAATCCATCACTTTGCCCTCCCTGTTGCCATGGTGATTCTCAGGCCCTGGGGTTGGATTCAGCCCCTCACACAAAAACAGGGCCACACCCCTCCCCAAACCCCCAGCCCCCTTCCCTCCCTCCCTCAGCCACCTTCCCTCCTCCATGCCCCACCTCCCGAAGAATTTTCCATCTCTCAGCCTTTGTTTGTTTTGCCTTTATCCGTGTCCACCCCCTCTCTCCGTGTCCACCCCCTCTCTCCACGGGTTTCTGTTTGTTTCCAAACTGTCTGGGGCCGTTCACCATGGAGAAGGACCTAGGCTGCCTCTAGCCCTGATCTGGTTAGAATAAGCCCCTCTCTGGCATTTTGGAACATCCAGAACAAATCAGGACATTGTGCAGCAAGATAGAAGCCACCGTCTCCACCCACTCTGCTGGCGCCCTTGTCCACCTGGAAGGGATTTTTTGAAAATTTCCAGTGTTCTGCTGCAGTGTTGGAGACTGAAGGGCAAGCAGCATTTACTGAAGCCTCGATACCAGCCCCTGGGCTACGCTTTGCTTATGTTAAGAGTCAGTGGTGACAAAAACAAACAAAAAACAAAACAAAAAGTCAGCGGTGAAATTGATGCTTCCTGGATTAAAATGGAACTGCAAGTCTCCTGGAGAACAGGGACTCAGTCATCTTTTACAGCCACATGTCTGAGTTGTGGGTACCCAAGATGAGTTTGCTGAGTGAATAAATGGCCAAAAAAGATGCAGGAAATTTCCTACCACAGCCAAGGGTAATGGGAGAATGCCAGCCAAAGGAGCTTGAAGTTTGATTGGACAGGAAAATGCTCTGGCAAGGCAGTGTGGGCAGGTGAGGGTTTCAGGCTGTTGCTTGATTTCAGGGAGTCCAGTCTTCTCTTTAAAGTACAAATGGTCCTGAGAGATTGATGCAATGCTTATTTATACCCATATGTAAATGACTAATAGCAAAGCCTTTCCCAAGAACAGGTTTTAGGAATGAATTGGGGGATGGTGCTTTTGATCCCATCTGAGGGTGGGTCCACTGGAATCAAATTTTGCTTTATCCCTATTTGGCCAAGGGAAGACCCCAGTGAAAACAGCAGTGGTGACATCAGCCAGGTCAGTCAAGCTGCCCACCACAGGGGCAGACAGGAGACAGGGCCAGTCTGAGTTCCCGGAAGCAGAGCTTGCAGATGGGTTTAAAGATGCAGTTTTGCTGTTCTTGAGCAAGTTGTCTCTGTCCCATATGGGTCCATAATAACATGTTGAGCAAAGATTTGTAGGGATTTAAAACTAGCACATCGTTTCTATTTTTAAAGGACTTGAGGGTGCTTGAAGAGCAGTGCCCTCTTCCATCTTTGGCCACTGGTCTCATTCACCCTCCTGGTATCGTGCACATACCTCCTCTCTGGGGCACCAGCACCCTATCCGCTCTCACTGGGCACTGCCAATGTGGCCTGCTGCCCCCTCCAGACATGTGTTCTGTGGGTACAGCAGTGCTTGGGCTCAGGGATTGCCTCAGGCATGGGGATGTGACCCAGTCACACACTAGAATCTCAATAAAATGAACCTCAGCTTTTGCTGGGACTCCCGGGAGACTTGCTTTTCCACTGGTCCTGGACATGACAGGCTAGCCTTTCTGCTGCTGTGTAACATTTCAGAATGACCACAACATGGTAGAAGGCAAGGCCACTGAGTCCTGAGACACTGAGTACTGAAGCCAGTGGTGCCTAACACCAAGCTTTGCATTTGGGTGACTAATAAATTCCCTTTTATTTAACAGTTGAAACCAGGTCTTGTGGAGAATAATAGGGAGAGATCTTTTTGGATTTTTGGTACCAGGGAGAGGGAGAGATCTTAACTGATGCTCTTTGCCATCCTGCAACAGCATGGCATCTGCTGTAAATGTGTTATTAACTACAGAAAGGTGTGACGTCCAAGCTGCCGAGTCTGGATGGGTGAAGTTTGAGTGTCTTGGTCCCTGGACTGTCCCCACAAGGTGCCCAAACCCGTGCAAGATGAGAGATGCACAAAGTACACAGAAAGCCAGCGTATTTTGTTCTGGGGGCTTCTGCAGCCTCGGTGCCGGTTTGGATCAGCTTGGGTTCCTCTCCAGAAAGGCTTCCTGCCTAGGAAACGCTGTGGTATTCTGAGGCCTGGATGCAGCACTCTACGGATTTGGCAGGGCGGGGTTCTAGGCTCCACAGAGGAGTCTGGTTTTCTGGAAGAATGGACGCTGGGCTGTAGCCACTGGAGAAGGGGTGAGGGACAAGGACCCTGCCACTTAGCAAGTGCCTCCTGCATGATGGACGTACTGAAAGAGTTAATGCTCGCAGTTTCCCTGCAAGAAGACATTGTAGAAGAAACAGGTTTAGAGAAATGATTTTTCCAGGGGAAAAGGCCAGAAGGAGGCAGGACGAGAGC